TAGCGGGCGCGGGGCTGAGCAGACTCCCCGGCCTGATCGGGCTTTACCGGGCTACGCTGGTGTGTGGGGTGCGGGTGCTGCCCCGCGGAGGCGAGTGCTCCTCCAGGATAAACATGCAGATGTGCAGGAAGCTAATGCGGATTAAGGTCTCGTATTGTCACAGCTCACCTTCGTAAGGTCTGGGGAGAACTCGTGCGCTTTCACAAAGCAGAGCAGTCTGCAGCGGTCCTCAGAACTTTGTACGGCTTCCTGGTCAGAGACACAGCAGTAAAAAAAAAAAAAAAAAAAGGGCACAAAACGACCCTGGCATTGCATCTGAGTTCTTATGATCTTGCATTTTTATGGGCATATTCATGTTACTAGGGTTACATGGATGCAGCTTTTCTTGACACTTAGGTGTGTTGGATGACACGGGTATTGCAAGGTTATTGAGATGATGGCCACGCTCAGTCCACTGTTCTTCAGCTTCCCTCAGTTGGCATTGGAGAGTTGAGCCAATGCTGTATTAAGAGTGGGATTTAGTAATGCCATAAATAAGGCATATAAGGGCCATAAACAGCTCTCAATAATTTGGGTCTGTGGTATGTAATGCTCATGTGTTATTCTGAACATCTTGAGACCATTATCTTTTTTTTTTTGTGAAACTTTTTATTGGAAACCTCGTTGCAAAAGACTTAGAAGACTTTAGGCTGCGCCCAAATCTGGGTGTGTTTGATATGGAAGCTGAAAGTACTTTTAGAAACTGTCTGTTGTACTGTAGCTGTGTCATTGAACATCTTGCTCTTCAGATCTTTTACGTGACATAACTGGGCTGATTCTTTGCATATAGGAACAGTTGGGTAGGCCAGTCTGGTGCATCTTTTAAACTGAAAGAGAGGAGACTTAAGTTAGATATTGGGAAGAAATTCTTTACTCAGGGTGGTGAGGCACTGGAGCAAATTGCCCAGGGAAGCTGTGGCTGCCCCATCCCTGGAGGTGTTCAAGGCTTGGACAGGGCTTTGGGCAACCTCATCTAGTGGGAAGTGTACCTGCCCAGGGCAGGGGAGGTTAAACCAGGTGATCTTTATAGGTCTCTTCTGACCCAAACCATTCTGTGATCTTCAGCTGCAGCATACCTGGGGTTTACTTGCTTTATAGTGGTCTGTTAAGAAGTAGGAATTAGTGTGCTGTGTGTGGGTTGTATTTCGGTGATGTTCCTCTGCATTGGCAATACTGATTTGCTAAGGGCGTTAATCTCTTTTTAACACAGTATGTCCCCATGATCACTTTGGCTAGCACAAGGTTGCCTTACTGTGAATGTTTGTGGTGTGAACTCAGTTGGGGAGGGTGTCCAGGTTAAAAATGAACCTAGGGAAAAGCTTTTTTTTTTTTTTTTATTGGACTTGATTGTTCTCTGAAATTTGTGTGAGCTCAAGGAGGAGGGGAGACTTCAGAGGGCCTTAGGGCAAAACTAGTTTGTGTTGGTTTCAAATAACATGTGATGCTGTACTTATGGTGCTGTGGGATCATTGTAATTTGCTTCAGAGTGAGAGTTCACAAAAGATCCTGGTGATGTGACATCTGCTCAACAGTGTGAAAAACTGAATGTGCTGGACAGGATAGAGTGTAAATATTTGAAAGATCATGGACTGTGTTAGTGTTTTGCTGAATTTAGGTTTTCCTATACAGGGGCTTCCTAATGCTACTTCGTCATTTCTTAATGACTGAACTGTGAAAGATTTCATCATTCTTTTGATGAAAAATACAGAGTTGCTTTTGTCATCTCATGGTAGAAGCTGACCTGTAGAATGCCGGAGGTGCACTAGCTGCTTTCTTTTTATTTTTCCCCAGGCTGCCTATTGTGAGAAGTGCTTTTTTTCCTTTCCAATAGGTAGAGAAATTCCATAGCAATATTATAAGGC